AGCCGCAGATGTCAGCTGTACTGACATCTTCCTCCCGCCCTTCGACACCTCCATGGGGTCACTTATCAGGTGCAGTGGAAGACTTTTCTCCTTTATTTTTTCCTAAAAAATACTTATACTTAGTTACAGTAATTTGCTGCCAAACGAAGAACAACTCTGTCGCTATGGCATAAGAGCAAGTATTCAGGATGTCTGGGTTTATTCCTGATCTTGCCACTGAGGTGTTTCAATGAGTTCATTAGAACCAGATCTGTCTGAAAACACAGCACTTGCCCCGGGAGGCGCGCGCAGCCCAGCACCTTCTCGCTCCCAGCATCTCCCCCGGGTCTCATCTTTCAGGCACGGGGGCCCAGGGACAAGGGACGTACCAAGAGAATAATCCAAATAACCCAAGTGATGCAGGGACTCTGTAGGGAAGTGTGAAAACAAACATGCAGATTATGGTCATAGCCAAGGATAAACTTAATCCTTCCTTTTTGTACAGTTTTTTAGCACAACAGGAAAAGGAGGATGTTTTCTATCCCCACTCCTCCTTTATTTAACTTGTATTTTTAGTCTGAAGTTCTTTGAGAAGGAAAGCATTGCAGGCATTGCTAAGCCTGAGGCACACACAAACCAGAACCCCTGAAAACAGAAAAGCAACCACCTTGAATACTGATCTTCACTAGAATATTGTGTCTACCACATAAATAATACTTGAACAGGCTTCTTGCAGTCGCTGGTGTCAGAATGACTGGATATGTGCTAAGAGCACACACGTGCATCTTGGAGTAAGCAGTTTTGCTGTAAATCACAGCTAGTTTGAGATTCATGCTTTGTCCAATCTCACTGGCTCTGCAAACACAAGTGTCTCTATCAGAGGCACTCACATCCCAATCTGTGCTGCCCTGAGCCCTGAAGACAGCATCCTGGCAGAGACCTGCAGGGTCCTTACACACTGCTACCTAAAACCCTGGTAATTCTCTGCAGCACATTTTTCATTGCTGTTCCACCAGCAAATTCTACTGGGGCTTTGCACTGATTAACGCAGCCTGAGGCCAGACCCCGCACAGCGCACTGTCCCCTCCGCAGGAAGGACTCCACTCGCCTCACCACGCTGAGGAGCAGCCTGTGGCAGGCCTTGGCTCAGTGCTTGTGCTGGGAAGGGTGTGTGGCACTCGTCCCCTTGGTGGCACAGCTCGGTGTGCCAGCACGCCTGGCTGCCCTAATTGCCGCTGTTAGGGACACGCTGCACGTCCAGCCGTGTAAACAGGGTGATGCTCCCCCAGCCATTCCTGCCCGCTGACCTGTGCAAAAGCCTATTTTGGGCAACTGCTCCAGGCCACTGTGGGGGCTGTAAAGCACACAAGGCCGTGCCCATGGCTGGAGCCTTATCTTCAGCTGATGAAGGCATGCGCAACAAAATTAGATCAGACTGATACTACTGAAAAGGGACTTTTTTTAATTGCATCCAAGTCTGCTTGGATACTGCAGTTGGAGAGGAAGCAACAGAAAAAAAATCAGTTGGAAAAAATGATGTATTTCACAACAAACCAGCTAAACTGTAGCTTTCACACACCACCTCGTTAAAGATCAACTGAGTATCAAAAGCTGTGTAAGGCAGCGTGCTGAGGACAGTAGGCCAGCCTCTCGCCATGAAATCCAGCAAACTGGTCTCTCCAGTTTCCCATTGTGATTCACACCGACTGCTCCAAATGGGCAAACCCTGAGCAAAGCCACCTCCCCAGCACCAGCCTGTGAATTCCTCAGGCCTGATGAAACGGGCAGTGCTCATAGCCGGGGTGAGAGACACTTGTCGCCAGCGGTGATTCGGACACACCGAGTCACTCCCTGGGCTGCAGAGCAGCTCCTTCTCCTGCTGCTTCTGGCCTCAGCACAGTGTGAGTGCGAGTCCCAGCAAGGTCCCTCAGAACACACCGGTTGCAGGGCTGGGGTGTACAGGAATGAGCAAACACACACATATCTCAGTCCATTGTCCTGGAAATGAATGGGCAAAACAAGCGAGGAATGGGCAGAGAGGCGGGACCTGGCTTTGGGGACAGGGAAACAAGGGAGATGTGAGTAGCTGTGCTAAAGAAGCAGAGAAAACTGAACATTTGAAAACTGTCACTGAGGGCTTCCGAGCTGGGCATGAGACAAACAAAATGCAGCTAGAGAGCATCCATGAAAACTGTCCAATATTTATCTCCCAAATAAGGATCCTCTTAGGAAACAGGCACAGGATTTACTTAACACAGGGGCTCATTAGGTCATTCCCTGCCTCTGCCCTACTCTAAGTCTGTGAGCAAGGAAGCACAAAGGGTATAAATTCACAGCTTCATGTCTCTCCTCCTGCAAGCTCCTCCCTGGGCACAGCAGGACATTTGCACAGGAGTGAGAGGCAGACTATGGTCCTCATGTACTAAATACTCTGGTGCTGGTCGTTTAACTAAAACCATTGGCATTTATTATTTTTAAATATCCTTGTGAGACAGATAATCTTTTCTTATCATTATGTATTTTAGCCTTTCCTCTCGCCCTGAATTTTCCCTGATTTTGCCTTCACATTCCCTTCATTGAAATGATTCCCACTTTTCCCCTCCATTACACTGATCAATCAAACTTGAGTTGATGAGGACTGATGATGGCATCCCAAGGGAAATGCCACATGGTTGCATCAGCTAGTCTGCAGACCTGCAAGGTGTTGTAACATCTCCTTTTGCTTAGTAACACACGGAGAGGCTTACCCTTTAAGTACTCACCCAAAGGCTTACCTTTGTCCTGAAATAAAAACCAAGATTAAATAGCAATCTGAGTATGCTATGTGGGCTATGACACAATACATCTGATTAAAAGAATGTGTGCTTTCTGTCTGGTGTGATGGTTGGTGTCACCACCACACCGTTACAGGGAATTTCTGAGGTTTGCATCTGAAAAACAAACAGCTAAACCTTCAAAAACATGCTGACCTGGAATATTATCTGCAAAGAACCAGAACCACACACACCAAGCACACTTTGCTGTTGTTTGTAAATGACTTTTAAGGAGTCAAGTCCATGTCTGTGGGAGTTTGTGTCACTCCATAAGGAAGTGTTTCTGTAAATCCGGAGAGCACTGATGAAAAATTCAGGTCACACAAACAGTTCAGGAAGTTTTCAAACTGCTGGTACTTGCAGCAAGCAATCCTAATCCATTTCAGTTCAATCATAATGGCAAATTTACAAAAAACAGCACCACAAGCATTTCAAAAATAGTTTATTTTCAGATGATGTAGTACTGCAAATATCATCTTCTCCAACCAACCAAACCTGACCCCAGGTGGGAAGCAGGTTAGTACTGCCTTTACCAGGCTTAATGGCTAAACTCATTCTGTCTGGTGTCATCTGTACCATTGTCCTCTGGAATCTTTATTTTATCCCTTCTTACCCTCTAGAACTGGAGACAAAATCTCTTCTTCTACCCTGGCCAGTGTGCTGAGTCTGGCCACTTCTGACAATGGAGAGAACTCAGAGAAACTTGTTACCCTCTGCCCACAGAGCAGTCAGGACCTCACATTGTCTGATTTTTTCCGCCTTCATGCCAGCACTGCAGGTCAGCTGGGACTGGGATGCAAATTACCTGAAGGCTGGGCTCTTAGCTCTTAGTTGCAGTTTTCCAATTCTAAATTTATGGATTATCACTGAGCTTTAAATGTGCACAAAGGACTCAAAGTACCTTGGCAAGGGGATGGTATGTGAATGTAATACCTGTAAAAGTTAATGTGCTTGATCCTTCTAGTGGTGATGAATGAAGCCATGAAAGACTCCCACCCAAATTTTCTTCATGTTCACTATAGTAATCCAAACCAGAAAAACATCAAAACCCCTTGCATACTCTTTAAAGAGAAAAAAAAGGTGGAAAGGTCTTGTGAATATAAAAAATGCAGAGAAATGATTGCATTAAAAACAAGCAGGTTGTGTTACCACAGTTTTGCTAAATTAGCTTAAATTAAACATTTTGTTTAGTCAGTACAGCTGGATTAAAGTCTGCATGGGCTTAAAGTAAAACCCATATATGTGTGGAAAACACTCAAATTGCAATGAACTCCTTTTGCAAATCCTCTCCCAACGGGTGTGCAAACCATGTAACTGTTCTGCATGTGAATATTCAGAATTTGCTGTGAGGTTACCTAAAGGTGTTTTAGTTAAACAGCCAAATGGAGTCAGCAAAAAGCACAAAGTAGAGCCCAGAGAGCAGGAGGGTGTCTGAGCTGGTCATACCTGCCCAGTTCAGGCATCACCACTTAGATGTTACTCAGTTGTTCCAATTTAGTGACCCAAAATGACACCTTCTGTTTGCCTAATGACAGCTCCCCAGCTGTGCTGATCTTCACTCAGATTTCTTTTTGGCTAAGTGTGGAGATTGAGGACAGGGCACTCCATAAAGTGATACCAGCTATCACTTAACTGGCACAGAAAGAACCTGGACATGACCACAGAAAAAGACACAGAGGTAGCATTTCTCTTAAGGTTTCAAAAAAAACAAACAACACAATTGGCAGACCCAAATATCTTGGATTCAAAATCCTCTATCACTCACCTGCAGAACACCAAACAGCTCCAAATCTTGCCGAGGCCAGTAGAAATCTTTCTGCTGCCACAGCAACGCTGAGGACACGCAGCAATTGAGGCAAGAGCTATGTACAGAACTGTCACCCTTTGTCAGGGAACCCCGAGCACGTGGGAGGAAGATGGGACTGTTTGTACATCAGTGAACAGGGATTCTGGAGTGTCATGTGGCAGGGGAGCAATGCAAGAGAATGGGGTGTTTCATGTGCTTGGACATATCAGTGACAAAGGAGCCCTAGAAATATTGGCTGAAAAGAACGAGCATTTGCCCTTGGGCTCAAGCCTGTGTGCTCAAAATAAGGCTTGTGCAAAGATTAGGCCAAGCCATAGGCCTCCAGCTGGAGAAGTGAGGGACATGGCTGGGTGGCCTGTGGGACAGGAGGAAGGCACGATACGATTGCGGCTCTTGCCTACCTGCGGACGACAAGCTTCAGCTTCTTGTAGGAGCCTTTCACCAGAGAGATGGCCTCTCTCCTGGAGCTGCTCAGCTCCACCTCGTTGATGTTCACCACTTCATCACCAGCCTGCAGCTTGGAAGGCAGGGAATCTGCCTTCCCTCCCTCTTCGATCTGCACAGGAGAGAGGGGAGAAAGTGAGACGTGCCTGACATGGTTTGGCTTTCACCTGCAGAGCTGAGCGTGTGTTTCTGTTGAAAGAATTGATCTACCAGCCCCAAGCTCTGCTCTTGGATTAAAAAACCCTGGTCTCCCTTTGCCAGCCAGCTCACTTAAAGGTCTGTGCTTGCCACCCCTATGTTTCATATAGATGGGAGCCTGGAATCAGCAGCCAGATGAGTTCTGCCAAGAAAACACTGTTTAGAATAAGCCTGAAAAGTCTTTGGTATTTGGAAGCAGTAAACGCCAGCAAAACAGCCGTGGAGCGCCTCTTGATAAGAGCACCCAGGCACCAGCCCAAGGGCAAAGCCAGGATTAGAAGAGCTTGGATATGATTTTTATTTTTTTTGTTCAAGCTCCCCTTCGGGACCCAGATGCCTGATGAACAACAGCTTCTTTCTTACTGGCCAGCAGCAAAGCAGGAGCACTCAGGTGTAGGTAGTTAATGAAGTGCAGCATCTCTGTAGGGTTTTTCAGCTAGGGATATAAAGAAAGTAGATGATTATTTGAGTTTTATGAGAAAGTAAGCAGTCTGCTCTAGGCTATGTAGTGGCAAAGCTAGAAGCAGAGTCCTAGGGCACTTCCATCTGCTTTGGACATGGTGTAGTGACTCCCCATCCGTGTGCCAGCAGAAATACACTAAGTGCAAAGAAGTCAGTGACAAAGCAGAGGACAAGAAAATCCAGCCCAGGATCTCTAGCACAGCAGAGGGCCAGGTTAGACACTGCAGATCCTGAGTTCCAGGAGCCTCAGGAGTGCCACCGGCTCCAAGTGCAACCAATAGTTACTCTGACTTCAAAACTTGCCACCACCAAATCTGCTGTTCAAAGCACCCAGCAGTCCCTGCTCAACAGAGGCTGTGGCCTGTGTTAGCAGGTGTCACAGGACCCACTCTCCTGTGTAACACCTCCTTGCACAGCAGAAGTATTATTTAATACCTTCCCAGACATCCTGCTGCCACAAAGAGAGGTGTCTGGACTGGATTCCTCCTCGGATCCAGGCAGGAAGGGCAGCTATTTGCAGGGGTGGGATTTTCAGAGCGGTGAAATTGCACGCATACTTCTGGAAGCTGCTTTTATTTCAAGTCAGGCCAAGCAGTGTGTAATTGAGCCGTGCCCCAGACATGTAACTCAGCACATGCAGACACACTGCCCACGTTTTTTACCAGGACATTGGTTTTGGTGTTGAACGGTGATTTCTCACAGGCAAAGGCAGTCTGTTCCTCTAAACCAAGGAATTCCAGCCCAGGTACCTTCTAAAATGTAAAATCTGACTTCCCCAAACATCAGCCAATAAATTCCCCAAACCCCCTACAAAGGGAGGTAAAAATCATTGTCATTCATCTTACCAGGAAGTCATTCCACTGATGAATGAGTTTTTTCTTTTCTTCTTAAGAATGGATAAAACCACAGGAATGAGCCTTCGCATAAAGAGCCTTGTATCACAATTACCAGGAAGGGTGAGAGATGAAACATTAGCCCTTGCTGCCAGTATAAATAAATAACAAGTGAAAAATGCAGTATTGCTGCAGTTTATTGCTGCTGTAAAGCAGAACAGGTGGGTATCATTTCAATGAAATACAATAGTGGGGTACTAGGGGTTAGATTAACTTGTGATATAGTCAACAGAAAGGATTTTCTGTTTGTTTTTGTTTTATGTTACAGCACATATGCTGGAGAAAAGTCCTGCTTGGAAAAATATGTTTTGTAACAAATACTAGCTACTTCAAAGGCTGTGATACTCATCAGAGCATTTGCATTCACTTGTGCCTGGATGAGCCCTAACCTTAAAAAAATCAACAGAATCGTGAGCTGTGCTACATCATCCAACAATTCCAATTGTAATTACATATTTGAGGGTTTTCACTTCACAGGAGCACTGTTTTAAGGTTCTCCTTGGGCTACGTGGGCTAGACCTTTCTTTTTCTCCTTTCTCAATGAAAATGGACATTCAGATTCTTCCATATTCACCTTTATAAATAATGTGAAATCAAACACTTTCAGGGAAGACTAAACCCTGCAATACTTCTGATAATGCTGATAACGTTATCACTGCTCTGAAAGAAATCTTTCTTCAAATCCTGATGCATTCCAGCTTCTCCCTACATCAAGGGCTCTTAAACTGCAGCCTGCAAGGCCAAGCAGCCAGCCATGGTATCAGAATAAAGGATGCCTTTAAGAAAAGCTTGTTAGCATGAGTAGAGTCATCTGCAAGATACTGCAGAGGCTGAAAGTGAATTGCTTTGCTCCTGTGCATTTAAACTGTCCATGAGCAAGACCAAAAACCAGAGGCACATTCTGCCTTTGGAAGCTTTTGGATGTAAGGACTCACATTGTATTGTTGGCACAGTTCTCTAACCTATTACTAAGCTGTTAGCATTCTCGTCTGTCATCTATCCAGCTGGGGTTACCTGCATACAAATTCCTGAAAGTTCCTGGAAGAAAACGTTCACAACAGGCCTGTGACCTGGTACTATTGCTCAGAGAAGTAAAAAAGGCAAAGAAGACTCATAAGGCTCCATCAAAAGTCCAGAAATGAGGCCTTGTCTCCCAAAGCAAAGCTCAGATGCTCCATGTCCATTCTTCCTCTTTGCATGCCTCTGAAAATATTTGTGTTTAAGGAGCGGTGATATTTCATGGGAAGGATTGAGTGATTCAAACAAAACAAGCTGCACTATAAACACAAAGCTCTATCACAGTGAAACAATTATCAACAAAGCAAACAAACTTCAACATGCAGGTAACCCATTTAAATGGAACACCTGCTTCACTGCACGAGGGTGCACAGAGTCCAGGATGGGACGTGCCGGAGGCATGGAGTCGAGGATGGCAGACGTGTGCACACCATGCAGGCCACAGCAGCCAAGTAACACCAGGTGGGCACCACTTCTGCCTGTGGTTCCCTGCTCTGTACAGCCTGACTCACCCTGTGCACCAGATCCTGAGTGAGTGGAAATGAGAAAGCGAGTTTTCCGCTCTTCCCTAAATCCCCAGTGGATCCCAGTGCTGTCACTCAGCCAGGGCAGAGCAGCAATGCACTCTGTTGTTTCCAGCGTGCAAGTGGAGCAGCCACAGCATTGCCAAAATCACTTGTGGCAAACATGTGATGGCCATAAGCAACAGGACCTAGTGCAAGGGGTCAATCAATAGCCTGCAAGACCTCTTATGGTTTATTTAAGCAGAGAAAAACAAGGTGAAATGCAGCCAGCAAACCTTGTGGCTGTAATGGTTGTCACTCATCCATCAGGAGCAGGAGGAGCCAGAGGGAGCCAGCCAGGGACTGAAGTTGTTTTTCATTTTGGCTGAATTAGGCCAACTGCTCTGCCAAGTCAAGTTATGAGACGTGACTCTGGCAAGCATGGGGTGGAGGAATACCTGAAAACCAGTCTGGCTTTGAATCTTTGGGGCTGGATTCAATGGCTGCTCTTACTAGAGGTGCTGTGAACAGAGCCCAGGCAGTGCCAGGAGGGGAGAACAACCCCTTCTCCTTGAAAGCAGCAGGAGCATCTTACAGCAAAACATGTCAACAGCATAAAGACTTCTGTTTTCCATGCCTCAGTTCCCCACCTGGAAATGGACACAATTGTTCTACCTTGCTCTGTCCTGTTTAATTAAGCTGTGAGCGCTCTGTGATGATCCAGATCTTGGCTCTTATTCCAGATGTCTCTGCAAATGCTTAGCTCCCAGGCCCTGGCCCTGGGGAGAGTCCATACCAATTAAAAACATACAACAGCACAGTATCCCTTTCCAGAGGGTGTTCCACCAGCCATGGACAGGATGGTTCCTACTTCTTGTGAAATCCCATCAAACTTCTGTGATTCCAGCACGTTCCATACAGCTCCTCTTTCTCCTGTTTACCACAAACCCATCTAGCTGAGTCTGTCAGGTTCTTTTGGAAGGAGGGGACAAGGAGCTCCCTGCCAAGCTGGCCTCTCCTAAAACACACCCACTTCAAAAGGCCTCCACAGTCTCCTGGGGCTGACACAAACTCCAGTCCTGCCGTTGTCTTTTCTGCAGTAAAGCCTTCCATGCCCACTGCCCTTTGCTGAGAATTCCAAAGGCCACCCCTGGTCCTGCTTTGCATGAACATTCCAGACCATTTTCTTGCATTAGAGGAGGCTTCTTGTCACTCAATAGATCCTGCAGGAGATTTCAAATCCATGTGTTCCCCCTTTTTTTGGCTTACTGTAAAAGCAAGAAGTTGCTTAAGCAGATCACCAAGGATACATAAGACTTACTACTACTGCCTTTTGTTAGGCTCACTATGGTTACTGTAGGTTTGGAGAACACTGGCTAACTGAGAGCCTTTCTTGATTATTTTATAGAAGTTTTCTTTATTTATCTCTCTCTTCCCTTTCTTCTACAAGCTTTTGTAAAAACAAATTCTCTGCAGCTCTTAAGATGGATTATTCCATCTTTGTGTCCTTTCTATGATGAACGGTACGTGTGATTCCTAAGCTGCAAACTTCCCGGCTCGAGTTTCTCAGTGAAACAGAGGAACAGCCAGGCAAGATGTGTGCACGCTGTATGCAGTTGCACAGGTGAGAGCAGAGCCAAGCAGCAGGTCAGGACAATTCCTGGGGGCACCTGGAGATGCCCTGGAAAAAACTGCAAGCCAGCGTAGCAGGCTGTTGACAGAAGCAGCAGCAATTGCAGTGACAAACTACTGCCCATTTCGTGTCTGGTATTATAATGATGCATCACATATGAGCTGCTGGAGATGGCTGTTCAGAATCCCTGAGCTGCTGAAAAAGATTTTATAGGAACAAAAACAGGGTGAAAGGAGAAGAAATTTTGCCCTCATGAAGGGATAGAGGGAGCTTTCTCTGATGCAAGGACTCCCTGACTTTCCCACGAGCAGCATTACAGAAAAATGTTCTCTGCTTTAGACCTCTTGTTTTCAATATTTTACTGGAACCATTTCAATTCTTTTCAGTGGAAAGATGAGTTTCTGTT